AGCCACTGTAGTGATGTATCATTTTGGTTTTGATTTGCTTGCCCTTGATTGCTAATGATGGTCATCTTTTCATGTGTTTATCTGTATATCTTTCTTTGGTAAATGTCTGTTCAGGTTCATTATCCAGTTTTTAAATTGAATCATTCCTCTTGAGAGCTTGTTTGGAGGTTCTCGCAGGGCAGGGCAGCTACTTGTGCACCCCTAATGGAGGAAATGGTTCTCTACTGTTGGAGGTGTTTGTCTTCTTCAGGCCCACAGCTTCAGGAAAGGACACACATGGAGCAGTGAAGGAGGAAGGGGGCACCTGCCTAGCCAGCCAGATCAGCCAAATCAACCCCCTGGCAATCAATGGGGAGACTGACTGAACAGAAATAAAGGGGAAAATCTTAAAAGCATCCAGGGAAAAATATACATTACATTTGGGTAAAATGGCCAACTTCTCATCAGAAGCTGTGTTAGCTGAAAAACATTGCAATGCTACCTTTCTAGCAGCCAGATCACCCTCACATCCTGGATTACCCCTCTTTACATTTTGGGTCACAAATTTTTTATATATGTTAGACACAAGCCCTGAGATTCATTTTTTTGTTTGTTTGGTTTTTTGTTTTTGTTTTTGAGGTATCGGGGATCGAACTCGGTCCTTTCACTTGAGAAGCAGACGCCGGAACCACTGAGCTAGATTCCCGGCCCTGGGATTCATTTTTAACCATGTGGATTTCTAGCTGTTCCAGAACTATTTGTTGAAAGGACTTTACTTTCTCCATGGATTGCCTTGACATTTTTGTCAAAAGATATGTTTGTCTGGATTTGGACACTTTCATTCTGTCACTTTGTTTTTTTATATTTAAGTTATTTCAGTTTGAAATAGTTCATCATATTTGCTACAATCTATTCTTTGATCCATGGGTTATTTAGAAAAATATTGCTTGATTTTCACATATATGTGGAGTTTTCTATATATTATTGTTGATTGTGAATCTAATTCCATTGTCATCAGATCAGAAAATATAATATTATTTCATCATTTAAGTTTAGAGATTCCCTTCTAGTCCAATATAGTCAATCCTGGCAAATGTGTAGTGGATGTATCTTGCTGTTGGTGGTACGATATTCTATAATCTCAATTTTGTCAAGTTAAATGATAGTGTTTTCAAATCATCTGTATCCTTACTGACTTTTTGTGCATTTTGTTTATTAATTTTTTTTGTGTGTGGGGTGGGTTACCGGGTATCAAACTCAGGACCTTGTGCTTGAGAGGCAGGCATTGGAACCACTGAGCTAAATCCCCCCAGCCCTTGTTTATTAACTCTGAGGAAGGAGTTTAAATTGTCCAACTATGATTGTGGTTTTTCAATTTGTGTCTTTGGTTCTGACAATTTTTATTGGAGGCATTTGGAAATTTTGTGGTTAGGTTTATACACATTGAGCATTGTTATGTCTTTGTGATAAATGAACCTTTGTCATTTTTAAGTGACCTTTTTTAGTTTCTGGTAATAACCCCATAATAAAGTCTACGTTGTCTAAAATTTAATATTAAATACTATAGTTTCCTCATATTTTTGCTTTCAAGTGGTCTGCATTTTTATATTTAAAATGTATGTCTTATAAACAGTGTAGTTTGGTCTTGTTTTCTTAGCCTCTTTGATAGCTCTACCTTTTAATTGGGGTATTAAATGTCATTATTGATAAATTTCTATCTTACTATATGTCTTATATGGTCCTTTTGTTCTTTGTTCACTTTTTCTTACTTTCCCGTTATCTTTTCGGTTGCTTATTTGTTAGTGATTATTTTTCTGTTCACTACTGGATTTTCTTCTGAATTGAAAATTTCACAGATTGTATATGCTTCCATTTATTGTCCCCTTCTGTGGTTCTTATTATATATTTTGCATCTATATATGTTAATATCTCACACTATGTTAGTATTTTTTCTTTAAATGCTTAAGTGACTTTTTAAAAATTTAATACAAGAAAAAATTATTTATATTTATCATCTCAGGGCTCTTCATTCTTTTGTTGGAGATGCTAATTTTTATTTTGTATCATTCCCTTCACTTTGAAGAATTTATTTACTTTTCCTGTAATACTGTCAGATTTTGTTTACATGAAAATGTCTTATTTATACAAAAATTAATACATAGAGCATAATAAAATTGAAAAGTTAGATTTTTCTTTCAGCACTAGAAAGGTAGCATTGCAATGTTTTCCAGCTAACACAGTTTCTGATGAGAAGTTGGCCATTTTTCCCAAATGCAATGTATATTTTTCCCTGGATGCATTTAAGAATTCACCCTTTATTTCTGTTCAGTCAGTAGCTGTGAAAAGGTCTGTCTTTATTCTGCTGATAAGCTGACTTTTAATTTGCTGAAACACCATAGGCTCTGAGTAGAGATAGTTGAAGACAGTTTACTACATCAAGAGCAGAGTAATATGCCACACAGTCTCCCTGAGCCCTAGCTTCCACAAGATGCTGTGTTATGGTTTGGATCTTAAAAGCCCCTCTAAGCTAAAGGCTTGGTCACCAACGTGGAGGAGTGCTATTGGGAGGAAGTAGAACCTCTAAGAGGAGGTGGGGCCCAGAAAAGTAGTAAAGTAATTGAGGGTATGCCCTTAAAGGAGATATTGGGACCCTGGTCCCTTCCTTGCTCTCTCTTTTGTTTCCCAGGTGCCATGAGGTAAACAGGCTCATGGGGCACATGCTGCCCACCTTGATGCCTCACTTCACCACAAGCCCAAAGCAACAAGGCCAAGTGATCATAGATGAAATCTTGGAAATTGTGAGCCAAAATAAAAATTTCTTTCTTATAGATTGTTTTTCTTTTTCTTTTGGTACCGGGGATTGAACTTGGGTCCCTGCGCTTGCAAGGCAGGTGGCAGAGCCACTGAGCTAAATCCCCTGCCCTCTTATAGATTATTTTTCTCATGTCCTCTGTCAAACGAACACAGGGCACGACTAGTGTCAGGTTTTACCAGAACATGTGGAGGAGTACGTCATAGGAAAGGAGCCCAATAGTAGGAAGTGCTGATCTTATTTAGTGGCCAATGGAAAACCTGCTCAGCCCTCACTCTGGAGGGCAAAGATTGAGGTGTCTCTTCATTCCAGGGTAATAAAGATAAGAGACAATCCTCACTGGAGCAGATTTATTTTTATTCCATTTGATACTGATTATATAAAATGGTTATAAAATTTTTCCTGAAATTCTTGATCTCTTGACCCATTATGTCCTATTTTCCCTTGTAGATTCTTTATCATATTTATCATAGTTTTGCTTTTAACTTCTTATCCCTTAATTACTCATTTCATTTGACAGTTGTTGGCTGTCTTTTTACTCTCATTTATGATCCACATTGTCTGATTCTTTGAATGTCTAGTAATTTTGTTGTAGGGTAAACAATGTAAATGACTCATTTTAAATGCTCTGAATTCTGTTATTATTTACCTCTGAAGAGGGTCAAGCTCTGTTCTAACAGGAAATTAAATCACTGGAAGCTCATGTTGGTTTTGTATTTTGGATGGATTGCTTTTAGTTTCATTCCTAATTCTAGGGTGTCACTGCTCATACTGGGATGCAGACTTTCTTCCTTATGTATGGCTGTTACAGGGCTTCAGTGGAAAGGCCAAAGAGTTTCCCAAGTCCCTCAAAAATGGCAAGGCTTAAACTCCATTCCCTAGCAGTCTAAACTAAGGATGCAAATCTTTGCTCACTGTTCCCCCCCCCTTGGGTTATTTGAACTCCTGTCCCATGTGTGTGTGTTCAGGAGTCCACTGAGGATTGTAAAGACTTTTGTGTGCACATGTTGGGCCTCTCCCCTTTGTGATGTCTTCACTTCTAGGATTTTTCCCTTCCTGGAAGCTCCCTCTGCCTCCAGCATCTTTATATCAATGACATCCCTGCTGTCTGGTCTGTAGGCTTCAGCTTTTGGTATTTTGGTTCATCCTTCTGTTCCACAGTGCCTAGCCAGTGCCTGCATACCTTCAGCAACTGCACAGTGAATATTCATAGAGTGAACAGATAAAAATGACTAACCTAGCACCAGGTCCCTATTTTAACAAGGCACGGTGGCAGCCTTGCCCAGTGATTTGGAGCTCAGTCTCTAGGTTCTGTCTCACTGAGTGAGTTCAGTTAGGTTACTTAGCTGCTCTGTGCCTCAGTTTCCTCTTTGGGAGAAAAGTTTCCTATTTCATAGGGTTGCTGTGAGGATCAAAAGTGTTAAGACAGAGGGATGGAGAGCTTAGCACCTAGCATGCAGCATTCAACAAATATTAGATGAACACGAATATCAGAGAACACGAGATCAGCTCACTTTAGGCATTTAAGAGATGGACTTTTTCAAGTTACTACTTTCTGGGGGGCTAAAATTTTACTGAGTCTACAGAAAATACAGAATCACTTAAATCAGGTTTTCACATATGGTGCTTTACATAGTTAACAGAAATATTGAAGCTGGAGAGTGTCACCGTGTGGATACTGAAAAATAAGAGTTTCTGCCAACCAGTGTCTGAGAATGTTTGCGAAAATACATTCAAGTCAAAACTACTTGCCAGCATGCCACCAATCTCCAAATGAATTGGCAAAAGTTCACCACTATAAGTCATCAGTTCCAGACAGCTGCAATTCTGAACTCAAGGAATTCATTTCTTTTTTTCTTGTAACTGGTCAGTAAATGGTAAATAAGTTGGGCACGTCTCTGGCTCTGGACTCATTTTTGAGGTTATGAGCTGGAAAAATAAAGCAGCGAGGGACAGGGGTGCCAGCGTCTCGGGAGCGCGCAGGCGGGCGCAGGGATTGCAGGAGGTGCCCGGCTCCCAGGCCGCGCGCCGAGGTTTTGTCTGAGTTCTCATTTACTTCATGCCCCAGTTTTCAACTTTCTCTGCTTCCTTCAGAGAATTCTCAGATCCACAGGCATAAGATGGCAGAACTGTGGGGCGCCCGGGCGGGCGGGAGGCCGGAGCCGGAGGCCGGCGGGAAAGGGGTAAGGGCACGTTGGGGAAGGCAGGGCTTGGGGCTGAGCCTGAGATGTCTCCCCTCACCCCGCTGACTGTGACAGAGCTGTCTGTGAGCACCTGTGGAGCTGCTGTCGGGCCGGGACGCTGAGGACTGTGGGCCTAGAGTTGGGAAGAAGCAGGAGACCCTAAGAACCGCCTAACCAGATGGTGCGGACTGGGGCAGTCGGGGAGGCTTGGCTGAGTCCCACTGGGAGAGTGAATGTGGTGGCTTGGCAGGCTCCTGCAGCCGGGGCGGTGGGTTTGCACCAAGCCCGGCCGCCGCAGAGCAGGGAGCCCGTGAAGTTATCAGTATCAGAGCCAGGGAACGCTGAGGGCTGGTTCGCACGACCAGCTAGGCCCTGCTTGGTGTGAGCTGGTGAGCTGCACCCTAGAACTTCCCTGGGTGTGGAGATCCAAGCCCCCTACCCCCGCGCCCCCGTTGAGTGCACGCCCCTCTCCTTGGCCCTTCTAGGTGTGTTTGGCCAGAAAGCATCAGGCATTCCTGGGAAGGTAGACAGGGTCTGCTCAGCTGATAAATCCCACCCTTTTCTGGCTCTAGAATTGAATCTAGCTTTGTCCTCTCCGTAGAATGAGGAGGGAACCGGGGGTGAGCATGGATTTTACCAGGCCACACGATGGATTTTGCTGCCCTGGTGGGGTGCTCACAGACCTGTGTCTGTGGCCTGTGTGTCTGGGTCAGGAGGCCAGCATCACAGAAGTCCTGGAATCTCTAGGTCCACCTGCCCTTGAACCTCATTAGTCAGGCTCCTCCCCCGGCCCAGCGCTGATTAAATGTAATTAGCATTTAATTGGATGTCTGTGAGCCCCTTTGCAGGAGAAACATGCCAAGGTCAAGTTTAGACAGCATGGGATGCTGTGATTCATTCTTTTCTTCCTGACACTGCATTTCCATATGTGGAGGGTGTTAGGAAGAGTCATTTCTTCCTTAATTTATTCAACAGATAGTTACCTAGTGCCAATCACAGTCAGGCATGCAGGCACCCAGAATACACAGCTCTCATTTACATAGGGGTTGTAGGAGAGAAAAAATAATCAAATGAGCAGACGAATTACACCATTTCAGAGAATGCTGTGTGCTATGAAAACAAGAACAAAAATGATGAAACAAATAAGGGAAATTGGCCCTTATCAAGAAAGGGTTGTAGTCAGACGTGTGTGTGTGTGTGTGTGTGTGTGTGTGTGTGTGTGTGTGTTTGGTTGCTTTTCTGTTTGTTTTTTAGTACTGGAATAGAACCAAGGCCCTTACACTGAGCTATATCCCCAGACTTTTGTTTTTTATTTTGAGACAGGATCTCTCTAAATTGATAAGTGCTCAGATGGGGTTCAAACTTGCTATTTTCCTGCCTTGGGTTCCCAGAGTTGTGGGACTATTGGAAATATGCACCATCACGCCTGGTGCAAGAGGACTTGCTAAGTGAGGTGGGGGAACTGGTTCCATTTTCAAACCCTGAAAATCTGGGGGCCAGGAGAGAGGCAGGAAGTTATATATATAAGCATACTATAAGGGTTCTGTGAATGTGATAATGATTTCTTGTTGGGAGGCTTAAATCAGAGGCATAGATCTGTGTCTCCTGGGAGAATTGCTTTGTTGTCTCTCTCACTCATTCATTTCTTCATTCAACAAACATTTATTGATGGCCTGTATGTTCCAGATACTATTCCAGGTTTTAAAGGCACATATTAGACAAGATAGTCCTTCTCCACGTGGGCCTTATTTTCTGGTAGGGAGAAATGGACAATAAGCAATACTGTTAATGTCAAGTCAGATAAACACTGGGAAGAAAAAGCAGCTGGAGTTTTGATGGTGACGGGGACTGCTGTGTTCTCTAGAGTAATCAGCACAGGCCTGGAGGAGATGACATTTGAGCAGAGACCTGAAAGAGGACATGTACTGTCAGGAAGAAGATTCCAGCCAAAGGTTAACATTGAGTACAAAGGCCCTGAGACATGAGCAAGGCATGAGCATGGAATTTGCTGGAGGAAGAGTGGGGCAAAAGCTGGTGTATGGCCCTGGGAGGGAGCGAGTATCTTGGAGGATCCCCAGGTGAATGTTGGGTTGGGTCTGATTGCTAGAGGTGGTCACCAGAGATAGAGAGTATATTTTCTGTGGCAGAGACATCACTCGCTTTTCTTATACTCATATCTATATGTCAGGCAATGACTTGTAGGCCTACAAAGAGGTCTAAAGTTGGAGGTAGATCCCAAGGTTTTCAAATCAATAAAGACCCTGGGTAGGGGCCAGGGAGGGATTTAGCTCAGTAGTGCCTCCACTGGCCTCACAAGCATAAGGGCCTGAGTTTAATCCCCAATACCAAAACACACACACACACACACACACACACACACACACACACACACACACA